ACACATACGTTGCGTCTCTGTCCCTTATGTTGGTCCATGGGAATCAGTCTATGCTCATCTCCCCAGTGTTTGGCTCTGAACCTTTTCCTTTCTCTCCCTCTTCTGCCTGTGTAGTTAGCTCTTCCCTGACCACTTCCAGAACATACCTCGTGCTCTGTACCTTGTCCACAGCTCGGTCAGGATGTTTGCTTGTATTTTAATCACTTCCTGTCTAGACAGTGGCAGGTCCTTGGCATTTATGAAAACAATTCTTTGTAAATCCAAACTCCAAAACTTGGGGATAAATCAAAGCACCAGAGTTGGGAAATTCTGCCTTCCTAGTAAAGAGGCGTCATAAGATTTGGTGTCTGTCTCATCTCTTCTGGTAGTTCCTTCCTGTTCTTTTGAGTTGGATACACAGCTTTGTGTTGGTGTAATCATTTTGTGTGTATTTTCACAATTTTCTCGGACAGATGATTTGCATTTGTGCTTATTATCCTTTTCGTATTTTCTCAATTCTGTCTTTTCTGTTTGAAGGAGTAAGAAATTCCAGAGTAAAACTTGGGGCAGCTATCTTAATAAGATTCGTCCATTTAAAGGAGTTTTGAGTAGAAAGAATAAAAGGCTACACAGTGTTGTATAGACCCCCATACCCGGGCTTATCACAATCTGGCCACAGCAGCTGAGTCATACGGGTTCTGTTCAGAGTGCTTTTTTTGTTTGATTGGTTTTGATTTGGGGCTTTTTTATAATGAAATAATTCAAACATAAAGGAATTCAGAAAATAATCCATTTTGGATTGGGTAAAAAAATCCTATCCAGATTTTTAAACTCTTAGAATTAACATTTTAAGATTTTAAACTAGTCCTTTAAATTATAAAAGTGATAAACGCTTACGGCAAATAATAAGAATTCAATAGGACAGAAAATTATGAGGGCAAAAGTCGTTCTTAAATAATCCCTGTCTCCCTAGACTGGGAAATGTTTTCTCCTTATTTAAACATTAATAACATGATACCACCAGAAATCTAAAAACTAGAAAGAAGTGAAAAAAATTTAAAACGCCCAGAATGCAAATTCTCCAGTTACCTACTGTCAACATGTTAGTATAAATCCTTCCCATCTTTCTTTATGCTCTGCATATATATATTTTCTGTTTCGTGTATGTGCACACGCATTTTTGACAGCTTTCTGTTGCACTTTTGTTGGTTTTTACCACGTTGTTAACATCGTCACCTGAGATCTTGATCTCTGCAAAGTAGCAGAGAAAACCGTAGTTGGGGTGCAAGAAAGCTGACAGACTGCGGAGCACACTGTGCCTCTGAGCTGGTACTGATTCCAGGCAACCACAGTTCTTTCTCAGCTTCAGAGTTACTGGACTTTTGGCCAGAAAATCCATTTCTGACACCACCAGAAGCAATTTTTTTTACTTCATTAAGCTTATTTGCCCAATCGGCACAAATCACATCCTCTCAGAGCCAGGCAGCCTTACCAATTTGGCTTTCTAGGGCATGGTGAATCAGTCCTTTTGTTAAGATCTGAAACTAGGAAGTTTTAACATGTCTTGTTGTTGTTGTTTCTAGGGAGTGGCTTTACTTATTGTGCCATGAGATGTTGAATCCGTATTATGGACTCTTCCAGTATTCCACGGACAACATTTACATGTTGCAAATCAATCCCGATTCTTCCATCAACCCTGTAAGTATTAATGAATAAAGAGGTCGGAGACTTAGTTGGAGAATTTCTTTAATGGATTTCCAGTTTCAATTTCAATTCTTGGTTGATTCACTGTAGACTTACTCAAAGTCTATGGTAAATAAAACATTGCAAGGTAGAGTGAGAACTGGATTAAGATGGATGGTTTCAATCCCGTATCTTCAGTGACTGGTATCAGTGAGTATGACGTTTCAGGGGAACTCTGGCTTGACAGCTGTATTTGCTGATGGTGTCATTCTGAGAAGTGGGTTACGAGGTACATCCTCCTCCCAGTCGAAATGGGAATATTCCCATAATTGGCCTTTTTGGCCACCGGTGCTGATGCTCTTAGCTGCTTGTCAGAGAGATGAGGAAATAGGCGGTGTGTGTGTGTAACTGGTTCGAGGGTGGCCAGCGGGTAAGAGGAGGGCTCTGACGTGGGGCCGCATCCTGCATGGGGCCCCTGACGAGCAGTCGATGTGACAGGACCTTTTACCAACATGGGAGCTAACTCTCTGAGTATAATTCCAACCTAAAAGTAGAAACAGGAGGTTCCCTGGTTACAAACCGAAACAGCGCTGGTTTTAAAATGGTTCTCTTACTTGGGTTGTTCACAGTTATTTTCCTCTTGTGTCCCTGCCTCAACTCCCTTGGGATTTTTTCTCTTCTCCTTTTTTGTGGGATGGGGGAGGGATGGCAGAGGAAGAAGGGGGACTACCTTTTGCCCTTTATTTCCTCGTGGTGCAGTGGGAGGGAGGGGCCGGCGGCAACCTGTGCCAGCACCGGGCCCTGTGTTGAGAAGGGACCAGGGTTGGTTGATTCTCTGCCGTCACCATGTCGATATTCTCAACTTTTGAATAAGGGGTTCTGTTTGCACTGGGTCCCACAAATTAGGTAGCAATTCTGAGAAGGTGTTTGAACCAAGGGCATAATATAAGGTATCCTTCAGATGACCTCTCCAAAAGTCATGCGCTAACTTTGACCTCCTACGTGGCTGTCTTTCATCTGGTCATGAGTGCAGCCTGTGAGTAACTGATTCAAGAAACCTGGAGAAAGTACAAGATACCCATCTGCCTTGGCCGGTCATTTTTCTCACGAATATCATGTTCTCTGGTGCCCCCTACAGGACCACTTGTCTTATTTCCATTTTGTGGGTCGGATCATGGGTCTGGCTGTGTTCCATGGACACTACATAAACGGGGGTTTCACAGTTCCCTTCTACAAGCAGCTACTGGGGAAACCCATCCAGCTTTCTGACTTGGAATCGGTGGACCCGGAACTTCATAAGAGCTTAGTGTGGATTCTGTAAGTACTGACTCAGTTAACTGAACATGCATCCATCGTCACCCGTCTTAGCGTGCCCCAAATCCATTTGTGTTGTGTAGTGTGCACGTGGGTATGTATTTGGGGGATGGGTGTGAAATCAGAGAATAGAAAAACTATCAGAAACATAAAAGTAGATTCAACAAAAATACTTAATTGACATTTTCCTTGTAATGTCTGGCCAGTTTCTCATCATAGACTAGCTTCTTTTGCTGTTTCCTTGACTTATGAAGTTATGATTGTGAATGTTAATTCCCAGGCCTGGTGGTTGGTTGGTTTGTGACACTCTGGGGTGTCTCCAGCCAAGGAGGTATCCAAAATCACCCTAATATTTAGGTGCCTTTGTTTTAGGATTGCCCTAAAACTCTCTTAAAAGCAACAGGCACAGTTACATGGTCACCGTAGGTGTCGGGGGTCCTCGTGAGGACCGATTTCACGGGAATGAGAGGTCCAGGCTCTGGGACCCAGGGACAAGCCGAGGACTCGACTGTGTCCTGTGTTCTGTCCACCTCCTTCCACGTGTCCCAGCTTGACAGGCAGGTCTGCGGGGGGCCAGGGCCTTCATCCTATAGAGAACCTCCCAGTCTGTGTTGCCAGAAACATGGCAGATGAAGGAGCCAGTTCTGACTTTCAAGTGCTTCCTTGGACTGATGCCCTTGGAAAGGCTGCTTGCAGAAGGGGGTGCTGTATTTTCTTGGCGAGGCTTCCCTTTGACTCAGTTACCCCTTCATGCTTCCCTCCTGTCCGCTCGGAGACTCAGGGTACAAAGCAGTCGGCTGGCTCTGTCCCGGGAAGTCACAGGGCGCTGTCACTACTGTCACCCCTCTTCTGCAGAGGAGGAGCTGGTCCCTCTTCCTACCGATTGCTGACTCAATGTTCCATGTGCTCCCGCGCGGTGGCCGAGGCCTAAGTGACATCCATCTTCTGTCCTAACTTCCCAGAGAGAACGACATCACCCCCGTGCTGGACCACACGTTCTGTGTGGAGCACAACGCTTTCGGGAGGATTCTTCAGCATGAACTGAAACCCAACGGCAGGAATGTCCCTGTCACAGAGGAGAACAAGAAAGAATACGTCCGGTAGGTAATGCTCTGGGGCACCTGCGGGGGTTGCCGCTGGGACTGGCGGGGCCTGGGACTGTCCTGGGAATGGGGGGGGCCATGTTTAGGTCGTTGGAGCGCTTGGACCAGAGTCATGGTAGCGGCAGAGACTTCCAGAAACCGGCGGGGTCAGCGGTGGGCTCCAGGGTTGACCCGTTAAAGGGGGATTCATGACCCCAGAGCCCAAGGGGTAGCTTTCCAGTGACCGCCTGATTGTGGGTGTGAAGGTGGTATAGCCACAGGAGGGAGGAGCAGGCCTCCCTCAGGTTTGGGGCAAGTTTCCTTGAGCTTGGTGTGATGGAAGTCCACCTCTTTATAGTCTGTTTTCCCACCTCTTGAGGCAAATAAATGACTAGTGACTTCCATGGGAAATGTAGACACATGAGCACACAGAGCCTGTGCTCAGGCTGTCTGACTGGTGTGTAGTTCTCACTGTGCCCTGTATTTTCTTTTCAAACATATTTTTAAATTATGGCACCTGTAACAGGTCAGGTTACATCCTACTGCTATTTCAAGCAAAGAATCAGAACAGCTGAGGGAGGGGCTGATTTACTTTTAACCTGACTCTTAGGCTGGGTACTGCCCGCCAGTGGGGTTTTCCTCCCCATTAGGGGAGGATGGTGGGCAGGGTTCAGCGGATATCAGAACCAACTAATGGAGGAAAAAACGATGTTCACGAACCATTTGATACTGCTTCCGACGTGTAAATTTTTCTTTTAGGTTATATGTAAATTGGAGGTTTATGAGGGGGATCGAGGCCCAGTTCCTGGCTCTTCAGAAGGGGTTTAATGAACTCATCCCTCAACACTTACTGAAGCCCTTTGACCAGAAGGAGCTGGAGGTGCGTGAGCGCCTGCAGAGCTGGGGCGCGTGACGGGTGCTCCTCGGCTGCTCAATCACTGCAGGCCCAGGGGCCGCTGGGGCTACAGGAGAGCAGAGGCAGGGCTGGGGGTGGAGTGGGGGGTCGGGGAGGCCTGAGCAGGTGATGCCAAGGCCTGGTGCCCACCTGGCGGCAGGGAATCCGGATAACTCTTGCGACATCATGCCGGGTGTCCTGCGGCTTGTTCTGTGGGGCAAGCGCCCCAGCAGCACAGCTTCCTAAGCCCCTCCTGCGGGGTCACCTCAGATGGAGGACGTTATCATGACCAGCTGCTCCACTTTTTGTTTGATTCTGGCTGTTATTAGGCCCAGAACGAAGAATTACTGTCGTTTCTGGTCCCTCTTCATGGGCGTGAACAAAGCCATTCCCGCGCACCTCATCCGCTCTGGTGCCAAGTAGCCCTTGCCTTTCAGGCTGTTCCCGGCCCTTCTGGCCCCAGGGCGGTGCCAGAGCTCTGGGCCCCGAGGTGCCTCCCCGGGGGGAGCGATGGCTCCGGAGTGGGTCGCAGCAACAAGCACGTCCCTGACCTGTTCCCTCCTCCTCAGACTTCAAGCCCCACGCGTCCCCGGGAGGCGGCCCCACTTTACAGGTGGCCCCGTGCAGCTGTTCTGGCTGGTCCTCCGTCCTCCCTCCCCAGTGTAGTGCACACACACGCACATGCCCACACACGCACGCTGCTAAGGAAACGTCACAGGAGTAGCCACACCAGCGTCCTTGGGGAGGCAGCCGGCCCGGAGGTGCAGACACAGAGCGTGGGCCTCAGGCCCGCTGTGTATGTGTCTGTCGACTTATCTGAACGCGCGTCCGGTTTGTCGGGACGTGGTTTGCAACGCTCTCCGTGTCCTGGGAGCTGGGCACCCGTCGCTTTGTACGTCGGGGAGGTGACCTGCCTTCACGCCCTCACAGCTGATCGTCGGCGGCCTGGACGAGATCGACCTGGACGACTGGAAGTCCAACACGCGGCTGAAGCACTGCGGGGCCGACAGCAACGTGGTCCGGTGGTTTTGGCAGGCGGTGGAGACCTTCGACGAGGAGAGGAGGGCCCGGCTGCTGCAGTTCGTGACGGGCTCCACGCGGGTCCCCCTCCAGGGCTTCAAGGCGCTGCAAGGTGACTGACGTGGTGGTGGGGCTGGCGCTGGGCCGGGGCGCGGGCTGGGGCGTCGCCAGCAGATGACATGGCCTCGGGTCCTTCATGACAGACACTCGGCGCTGCAGGGGTGTTGCCTAGCCAAGGGCTGGAGAGACCCTCTTCCCTCCACACGAGCCATGGCCTTCCGGTTGCCCTTCTCTCTGCTGCTCCCAGGGCTCGAGGCTCTACTATCCTTTGCCCAAGGTGAAAGAAAACATCTGGAAAGATGTAGGAGGCCATGTCCATCACACAGAGCCCCGCCCACCTCAGACCACCTTTCCCAGGGCCTCTGAGCCATGTGACACAGCAGTGGTGGGTGCCGGCCGGCTGGTGCCCACACAGGGCGGGGTCTGGAAAGACCTGAGCCAGGAAGGCCCAGAGGAGCCGGGGCCTCCGCTTCCCTCCCTCAGCAGAATTGGTGACAGAGAGAGGGTACAAAGAGCAAGGCTTTGGGGAAAGAAAGCCATTTAAAAATGCACCATGGGTTAATTTTTGAACCTTCTTGACAGCAGCTCTCTAACTGCAGCCCTGAGTCTCTAAGAGCACACTGCTGCCGTGTGGGTCACAGCTCCAGGGGTCCTCCCGGGCCCTTGGTTTCCTCATCTGTACAAGGGGCCTGCCTGAGGGGCTCCCCTGTCCAGTTAGGTCCCCGTCCTCTCATGCATCCCTTCCGGCTCTGGCTGGGCCCCTGGCTCACCTGGGTCTGGAGCTGGGGGCCGGAGGAGGAGGGGGTGGTGGGCTGTCCACAACGAGGCTTCTGAGCCTCTGGAGGGGCTCGTGGTCAGCACAGCCAACTGGGAAAGTCCTTGAAGGTCTCTTTAGGGCTCTGTGATTTGTAAAATTTGGGGGTTTTGTCACTTGATAACCCTGACAACCGGCAGGAGTAAGGTGAAGAATCTTAATATATTAAAACTTAGTAAATGGGACTTTGCATATTAATAGTGGGAGCAGATAGATTTCACGTGTACGTTCCCTGTAGACGACTCCTTCCTCTTGGAGTGAGAGAAGTTACTTCTCGTCCTAGGGCTTTGGTCCCAGCCTTTGTGTCTTTCTTTTGCCACTGGGCCTCTACCTGGGGAGGTTTCCTGACTCCATATCCTGCTTGCTAGACATTTCTGTTAAAAAAAAAAAAAAAAAAAAAAAAATCACTGGCGATTGAAAGATTTTGCTTTCAGATAAGCGCCCTGGAGCAGGCTCGTGGTCGAGTGAGAGGAGAGCAGTCCCCGCCTTTGCTCTGCCTTTGCTCCTGTGATTTTCTAAAATGTCTGGTGTTAGTCACTTAATGGTCATGGTGGGTGCATCCTGAAAGCGGGCAGAGGCTCGTGTGGCCGTGTAAGCCCCGTGACCTTCTGGCAGGACGGCCGCCTGGCACCAGGGCCTCGGGGTGGCGACAAGGGCCCAGCCTCGGCCTCTGAAGCGTGTTAACTAGAATGCTGTCTTGTAAGGCTCTACAGGCGCCGCAGGGCCGCGGCTGTTCACCATCCACCTGATCGACGCGAACACAGACAACCTGCCCAAGGCCCACACCTGGTAAGGACCAGCGCCCTGGGAGCCTGTCTCCGTGCGTGACTTTTCTGAGCTGTTTTCTTACTTGGACTCTGCAGTGGACAGCACGCACGTGAGGGTCCGCACAAGGCTCTTTCGTGAACCCAGTTTTGTCTGGAGACATGACTGACGTCGGAGCCGCTCCACGGCCCCCGTCGTCACCTCGCTGGGTCCTGCCGCACTTGTGCGCGCGCGCGTGTGTGTGTGTGCGCGCACGCGCACGCACACGTGCAGTGTCAGGAGGGAACACTGCAGTTTTAAGTTTGGAGTTATTGGTCTCCTCTCAGAACTCTGTGTATGACAGATGCACCTTGTGTATTGAAAAATGTTTCCTCCCTTGATTTTCACTTAAATAATATCCGTAGTGGGTTATTTCCTTTGCGGTTTAAAATCAAATCACTTACATGCACTTTGGGAGCCATTTCTTGAGACGAGAGCCACCTCTGGTTCACGAGAGTCAGTTCCAAATGTTGCCGGGATGCATGGTGATGTGATGGGAGGTTCTTGGTTGGGAACCAAGGCTGTGGGTTCCCACGCCGTCCATGACATCAAACTGGGTTTCCACGTCCTTAAAGATAGAGGACGCGCCCTCCCCGGGCCCAGGGTCTGCGCCCAGCATGGCCGTCCCGGGGTGGCGCGTGCTAACGCACAGGGCTGCTCCCGCCCCGGTAGGCTGTGTCCTCTAATGGTTTAGTGCTTTGAGTAAAACGGACGTGAAGAACGTCCAGTGCTAAAGGCCCCTGAAAAGCCTCCACACCGTTTAGCTCGACTCCTTCTTGACAAAAGCCATCCTCAATCACTTAACCTCTAGTAATTCAAGAGGCTCTATATGTCCTCTCAGTCAGAATCTTGCATTTTTTTATTTGTTATGAGGTAATATCGTCTACAAAGGTGTCTTTTGGGCATAGCTCTGGGAATGAACTTCCCTGAGGAAATGCTAACCCGGTCGTTTAATCCTCTATCAGGGATTTGACGTTTTATTATTTTTGAGATAGAGTTTCTGTTTTTGCAGGAAATACTCCAGACTGCCCCATTTTGCTCTCAGATCTAAGTCACAGGGGATTAGATACACAGGCAGTGAATTGTTAGTGGTGATTTGACTGCAGCCAGCCTGGACTGCAGTGCTCTGCAAACGTGGTGCTCCTGGTCTGAGAAATAACTTCTCCCCAAAACAACAGTACAAACGAGTTGAGAGCTTTGTCCTAATCTAACCAGTACATACTCACCTGGAAGATCTTAGAAGATTTGTTTTGCTGTGTGTTGACTGACTGAAAATCTTTGCCTGAGAAGCAGGGAAAACTCCCCTCCATCTCCCAGAACTAGGTGCATGAGATGCTTTCCCGTCCTCTCTGCCCTGTCCCCACGTGTGTGCTTGTGGCCGCAAAGGCCTGGCCACAGGCCTGGCCCTGACCCTGTCCTGGGAGCGGGTCCTCAGGCCAGGCGGCACCAGCAGTGAGTCTCTCCCCTTTCTGTCCCGTTCCAGCTTTAACCGGATCGACATTCCCCCCTACGAGTCATATGAGAAGCTCTATGAGAAGCTGCTGACAGCAGTGGAGGAGACCTGTGGGTTTGCTGTGGAGTGAAGTGCAGCCCAAGGCAGCAGACGCTAGCTCACGACCACCGGACCCCAAGCGACGCTCTCTGCGCGCCTCCGCGAAGCCGGCTGAGGCCCTGGAATCCTAGAACACCCGAGGGAAAGGCTTGTCTCCCCTGCTTCTCGTCGGGGGAGCAAAGGGGGCGGGGGGACTTGAGTTGGTGGCTCTCACCCATATTTTCCTCCTGACAGAACCCCCCCCACCCCTCCCATCACCCATCCAATCAAACGCAGCCAGGTTTAGCACTGCTTCGGTCACACAGGATATTCTGCTACGGTTGTAACACTTCTGGTGACAGGCTCACTGCCCTGTGGGCTTTAGAGGAGTCTTGACCCACAGTTATGGAGCTGAGCGGGGCTGCCTGAGGGTTCGGCCCTGGTAGCTGGACTAGCTCTTCTGTCTCCAAGCATACCTGAGGTTTTCAAGTTCAGCAGCTCAAATTCCAAATTTCACATCCAAGCAGCCTGCTCTGGGTAGCAGATTAATTTCTAACTGAACAATAACCATATACTATATGCTTATTGGAATTCTGCCACTGCAGGAAGCTGGCATCAAAACTGTGCTTCCCTTTTGGAAAGGTAAGGGAATCGGGGCAGCTTGTGCTGGAGGCCTGGGTGTTTATTTCTTTTCAGGGTTTCCTGGCTGAAAAATCTGTTTTGCATAGAGAAAAATGATCTTTCCTTTTAAGAGAGTCCCTTTAGCCACGTTATCTATCCAGTTTGAAATATTTTCCCAGCGAAAACACCACATAACAGAGCTTATAAACAAGCAGACCAAACCCAGCTTCAGATCCTTGCAGCCAGGCGCAGGCTGTGGCTGCTGCCCCCACCTGTACTTGGAAGGGCGTCGACTGGGCCACGTGGATGATAACAAACCATTTTGTGAAAAGCACTGAGAATTAAACTAACAGAACAAAATTCCATCATTGTAGCTGCTGGCTTGGCGCAAACTAGCTTGAGAGGGGGAGAGAACGGATAACCTCCATGACCTAAATCCACCCCACGTTACTCGTTTACAAGAAGTAGGTCGTGGATGGAAACCTGAGGGCAGAGAGGGGCCACTCCACCGTGACACGTTCAGCCCACTTCCCCAACGTCTGATGGTGACACTAACAACTGCTGCTCCATTCACTTGTCCAGATATGAGCAAGGCCAAAGCAAGCCTTGACCCTAGGTTTCTACCACCATTTCCCAATTTGCACAGAAGATCAAAAAGTATTTTAACAAAGTGGTTTGATTTCAGATAAAGTTCAGCAGAAAAACAGCAGTGGCAGCAAGTTCTCCCGTATGGTGGTGGTTTTTGTTTGGGGGGCGAGTGCAGGGTAATTCATTAGCAAGACATTTCACTGTTGAAGTTTTGTTGTAAGGTTCCGAGTTCAGTGCTGGGATCCAGCTGTGGGTCTGAGGTGGGTTTGGAAGGAGCTTTTTTGGCCGACTGTCCCGTCTGTTCTTTTTGTTACTAATACCTGTGGACGGTGCTAGGTTTGGAGACGTACGTACTTACTTACCCTCTGCATCTTGCTGTGGTTCTTCTGCTTGACCGGGAAGCAGCCAGTGGTCTGACGTTTGGCGGGCCGGAGTTCGCTGGCTGGAGGTTCCAGGAGCGAGAGAAAGCCGTGCTTCTGGGTGACTTGCTGAGGTTCTAGAATAGGAAGGATGCCTTGGCTGCAGAAGGAGAATGTAATCCGTTCAGAACGTCCAGGATGGACTGCGGGCTGAGTCTTTCCGAAGTCCCGCCTTGCCCGTTGGGCTTCTCCTGGGTCTCGTTTACCATGACACCTTCTGGCGTCCTGGAAGCTGGCTGCTGTGGGTCCTCCTCTGGAGGAATGAGGAAATGAATGATACAGACAGCCCCCCCCCCACACACACCGCAACTCTCCCCCGCCAGACAGGTCTCCTCTGTAACACGGACCTAAACCGCAAGGTCCGGGAACTTCCATCCGGGAACTGAGGCCCTCAAGACTGAGGGGGGAAGGCCCACCCAGTTATCCTGTGGTGTCGGCCAAAATCCGCAGTAAGTTAGGAAGGAAACAAGGGTCTAGTGGTTGGAAAGACTTGGGAGCAGGAATTTGCCTCCTTTAAAGCTGCCTTCCTGCTG